CCAGGGGACACCGGGGACACCGGGGACATTGGGGACACCGGGGACAGTGGGGACACTGGGGACACTGGGGACATTGGGGACATTGGGACATTGGGGACATTGGGGACACTGGGGACACCGGGGACACTCGGGACATTGGGGACAGTGGGGACATTGGGGACATTGGGGACAGTGGGGACATTGGGGACACTTGGGGACACCGGGGACAGGGACAGCCAGGGGACACCAGGGACACTGGGGACATTGGGGACATTGGGGACACCGGGGACAGGGACAGCCAGGGGACACCGGGGACATGTCCTCCTTCCTGTCCCTATCCCCGTGTCCCTGTCCCTGTTCTCATGTCCCCATCTGTGTCCCCCATGTCCCTGTCTTCATGTCCCTGTCCCCGTGTCCCCATGTCCCATCCCTGTCCCCGTGTCCCCATGTCCCCGTGTCCCCGTCTGTGTCCCCATGTCCCGTTGGTGTCCCCGTGTCCCCATGTCCCATCCCTGTCCCCATGTTCCCGTGTCCCCGTCGGTGTCCCCATGTCCCGTTGGTGTCCCCGTGTTGCCATGTCCCATCCCCGTGTCCCCGTCGGTGTCCCCGTGGCCAGCGTGATCATGGTGGACGAGGCGCACGAGCGCACGCTGCACACGGACGTGCTCTTCGGCCTCATCAAGGACATCGCGCGCTTCCGGCCGCAGCTCAAGGTGCTGGTGGCCTCGGCCACGCTGGACACCGAGCGCTTCTCGGCCTTCTTCGACCACGCGCCCGTCTTCCGCATCCCCGGCCGGCGCTTCCCGGTGGACATCTACTACACCAAGGTGACGTGGGGACACCGAGGGGACAGCGGGGACATTGGGGACATCAGGGACATCGGGGACACTGGGGACATTGAGGGCATGGGGACAGCTGGTCATTCCTGGCCGGCGCTTCCTGGTGGACATCTACTACACCAAGGTGACGTGGGGATGTTGGGGACAGCGGGGACATTGGGGACACTGAGGACTTGGGGACATTGAGGACTCAGGGAGACCAGGGTCACTGGAGACATTGAGGGAGTTGGGGACACTGGGGACATTGAGAACTTGGGGACATTGAGAACTTGGGGACATTGAGGACTTGTGGGCATTGAGGATGTGGGGACATTGGGGACATGGATGATGTTGGGGACACTGGAGACGCTCAGGGCTACCCGTGGCTGTGGGGTGTTGGGAGCACTGAGGGACACGAGGGGACACGGGAAGAGGGGGATGGCTGGGGACCTTTGGGGGCAGCCGGTGCTGATGTCCCCTGCTGTCCCCATGTCCCCGTGTCCCCGCTGTCCCCNCGGGGACATGGGGGGGACAACGGGGACACCAGGACACAGGAGACCTTGGGGACACGGGGGCATTGGGGACATGGGGACGTGGGGACATTGTAGACGCAGGGACACATCCCCACCTACAACCACGACGTCCCCACCTTGGGGACACGTCCTGGGCACTTTGGGGACACCGCGGTGACACAGCTGGGGGGCTTTGAGTGACCACAGCAGGGTTTGAGTGACCCTGAGGACAATGAGTGACCTCGGGGGTGGCCTGAGTGACCCTGAGGGGACAGAGCACGCCCAGGGAGGTGGCAGTGACCCCGGGGAGGTGACAGCAGCTCCAGGGAGGTGGCAGCAGTTCAGGGGAGGTGACAGTGACCCCCGGGAGGTGGCAGTGGCCCCGGGGGTGACAGGCCCGTGTCCCTTGTCCCCAAGGTGGGGTACAGCATCCGCTTCGAGGACTGCACGTCGGAGCGCACGGTGCTCAAGTACATGACGGACGGGATGCTGCTGAGGGAGTTCCTGACCGAGCCCGACCTGGCCTCCTACAGGTGACACGGGGACACCGGGGACANTGTCCCCATCCCTGTCCCCATGTCCCTGTGTCCATGTCCCTGTCTCCATGTCCCTGTCCCCGTGTCCCCATGTCCCCGTGTCCCCATGTCCCCGTGTCCCTGTCGGTGTCCCCATCCCTGTCCCCATGTCCCTGTGTCCATGTCCCTGTGTCCATGTCCCTGTCCCCGTGTCCCCATGTCCCCGTGTCCCCGTCGGTGTCCCCATCCCTGTCCCCATGTCCCTGTGTCCATGTCCCTGTGTCCATGTCCCTGTCCCTGTGTCCCCATGTCCCTGTGTCCATGTCCCTGTGTCCATGTCCCTGTGTCCATGTCCCTGTCCCTGTGTCCCCATGTCCCATCCCTGTCCCCATGTCCCCGTGTCCCCGTCGGTGTCCCCATGTCCCGTTGGTGTCCCCGTGTCCCCATGTCCCATCCCTGTCCCCGTGTCCCCGTGTCCCCGTTTGTGTCCCCATGTCCCGTTGGTGTCCCCGTGTCCCCATGTCCCATCCCCGTGTCCCCGTCGGTGTCCCCGTGGCCAGCGTGATCATGGTGGACGAGGCGCACGAGCGCACGCTGCACACGGACGTGCTCTTCGGCCTCATCAAGGACATCGCGCGCTTCCGGCCGCAGCTCAAGGTGCTGGTGGCCTCGGCCACGCTGGACACCGAGCGCTTCTCGGCCTTCTTCGACCACGCGCCCGTCTTCCGCATCCCCGGCCGGCGCTTCCCGGTGGACATCTACTACACCAAGGTGACGTGGGGACGTTGGGGACAGCGGGGACATCGGGGACATCGGGGACACTGGGGACACTGGGGACATCAGGAACACTGGGGACATTGAGGGCATGGGGACAGCTGGTCATTCCTGGCCGGCACTTCCTGGTGGACATCTACTACACCAAGGGGACGTGGGGACACTGAGGGGACATTGGGGACATCAGGGACACTGGGGACATTGGGGACATTGAGGGCATGGGGACAGCTGGTCATCCCCGGCCGGCACTTCCTGGTGGACATCTACTACACCAAGGGGACGTGGGGACGTTGGGGACAGCGGGGACATTGGGGACACTGAGGACTTGGGGACATTGAGGACTTAGGGAGACCAGGGTCACTGGAGACATTGAGGGAGTTGGGGACACTGGGGACATTGGGGACATTGAGAACTTGGGGACATTGAGAACTTGTGGGCAATGAGGATGTGGGGACATTGGGGACATGGATGATGTTGGGGACACTGGAGACGCTCAGGGCTACCTGTGGCTGTGGGGTGTTGGGAGCACTGAGGGACACGAGGGGACACGGGAAGAGGGGGATGGCTGGGGACCTTTGGGGACAGCCGGTGCTGATGTCCCCTGCTGTCCCCGTGTCCCCATGTCCCCTCTGTCCCCCATGTCCCCAATGTCCCTGTGTCCCCCATGTCCCC